TCTCACTCCCGCAGAGACCTGTCTGGTCCCACCCAGGACGTAGTCAGTGTGGGAGCGTCGGAGCTGACAGTGTGTCTCACACAGGGACAAGGCCGTCGATCTGGAAAGTGTGGCATGTTTAGATAATCTTCTGACTCACACTCGCGCTCAAGACAACATCCGTTACCATACAAAAAAAAGATCCAAAATGGAAGCCGGTCGTCAGAGTAATGCAGGCCTGTTGGGGGCAACGCTGAGAGAAACCCGTCACAGCATGTCTCTGTGCTTGGGGTTTGAGGCAAACTTGGTGCAGTGCCAGGGGCAGACAGCAGGACTGAGTGGGGGGTGGAGGCAGACGCCACAGAAAGTGTCAAAGTCTCACAATGGACGCAAGTTGGCCATTTAATGATGCACTAAAAAAAAAAAAAAAAACAAACGCTCCGCTAATCTCTTTACTTCAGTCACGGTTTGAATAGATTCCTTGTTTAGTGTGCGTACGGTCCAGTTAGCATTTGTTGCTAATAAGCTGTGTTGAAACTTTATGAAAGTTTCTAAAAAAACAAGCCTTTGTGTTCACTTGCCTGAAAGGTGAATTTGTCATTGTGCACGGTATAAAAGATGATACAGGCAGTTCTTTTGTTGGGAGATTTGCAGACGGCACACACACACACACACACACACACACACACAGCACAGCCTCCAGGTCACACACACACCACCTGTATCTCAGTTTTCATGTTCCCCCTGACTGCTCCCTGAGAGCAGCCTCTAAGATGGAGGGAACCCGTCTGTCCTGTCTTCTACGAGATCGGATCAGTGATCGGTGCGCCGGTGTGCACTTCCTGCCTGAAAATGAGGAGCACGGCCCTTAAATCTGAGCGCTGTAGGCGCAAACATCAGGAAAACAGAATCGAATCGGTTTAGAACCAGAGTATGTTTGTTCTTTAGATATCGATATTTGACGCATGTTTATTGATAACGTAACGCAGGAGTAATTTGCATCGACATTTTTCTAGTTTTTTTAGTTTTAATGTCCTCACATTTTAGAGCACTCAACCTGTGCCTGTTTAGTTGAACACCACACTGATATGCCCCCCCCCACCCCTGTGTTACTGCAGATCAGTATTTACGAACTTTATTGATTCCACGCTACGGAACTTTATGCGTTAACAGCAGATGCGCTGCAACAGGCTGCCTCTTGGAGGCGCCAGGTATGCGGTTCCTTTGGGAACCGGTTTCTTTTGTAACTCACTGCGACATCTACGTGTCCACTGTACGACAAAACACACCATTGTACGCTTTAGCTACGCACACTTCAAATTTGTTCATCCAGTTTGCGATCAGATAACAGGATTATGGGCCCATTACGACCGTGGCCACAGGGCTGCGCCGACGCCAGAGGAAGTCAAGGAGAGGGGGCCAAGCATGTGTCAATATCAGCCTCCGAGGCCCTGATAAAATATGTACTCTTTATTAAGCGCAGGCAAGTGCAAGCATGAAATTGAAAAAAGAAAAGAAAAAAGAAACAGGCGAGCCAGAGTGAGGAACAATAAAAAATGTTTCCTCTGCAGAGAGTCTGTATAAAATAAAATGAAATGAAAAAAAAAATAGTTTCCGACCTCTGTGAGTTATCGTTTCAAACCTTCCAGGAGTCTCTAAATTGTGAGTGTAATAGATGCTGATGAAGCAGCTTTTTTTTTAACTGCTGGCCTATTACACTGACACACAAGCACGTAGCGACCAGCTGCTCCGCGCCGCCATCAAAGTGACCGCGTTTACACACTGAGAGGTTCTGTAAAAATCCTGGAATCCACTTTTGTTTTGTTTGTTGCCGTTCTCTTCTGCACCGAGCGCTAAAGAAAAGTTCTTTAAATGGAAAGATGCTTTTTATAAATCTACCCTTCTTATGGTTTGTGTGTGTGTGTGTGTGTGTGTGTGTGTGGTATTTCCTATTGGAAAAAGAACAGAGTTTTGAAAAGCCATCTGATGACTCCCCCTCTATGCAGTGGCGCCTGTAATGAAAACCAGGGCTGCGTTTGCAGTTGAGACGCCGTATTAAAAAATCTGCACATATCTTTTCTCAAACGTACGATCATCCCAGCACGTCGGGTTCCCTGCCGGAGGCGTCGTATCATATTAGCAGATAAATGGTAGGCGTGTTTTCTGTTATAAAGCCATCAAGTCAGGATACGTGCTTCTGTTTTAATAGACTCTGTAGAAGTTTTGGTTTTTCTGGCCGATTATTTCCAACCAGGTCACGACTTCCTTCTACTGATTCTTTTAACTTTTGTTGAAAGATATAAAGCCTGATTAAACCTAGTCTTCAGGCTGGTTCGGTATAAATATATATACGATGTTTGCTCCGATTTTTGAGAGTTAAAATATCTTAATGTCTTAAGGTGGTTCGGTTCAAATCGATCACCATCTGTCTAAGAACTCATCCACTCTCTAACCTAACATTCATTCCACCTTTACTTTACATTTTTTTTATCTCCAGCGTCTGTGGCGTCCGTGTCTGTTTACTACGCTCTTCTGAAAACACAAATATGTCGACTTGAGCATTGGAAACATAAAACAACAATTAAACGCAGTTTAAATGCAGAAAATAGCTGGGAGTGTCGACGCATGTTTTAATTACTTGGCTGCTAAATCATCTGACACTTTCCCACAGTGGATTTATCATTTATCATGAAGTTTAATGATTTTTTTTTAACTTTAGACCAGATCTTATTCTACCTTCTGAGCAGATTCTTTTTTATTTTTTAGTTTTGTCACTAAAATCAAACAGTGTTTTGACTCTTGGTTTTCATCCAACTATATTTTCTTTATACACAAAATATATGCAAATAAACCAAGACTTTGATTTTTTTATATCGTTTCAGACATGACCCAATCAGAAACACCGGCCCACTAAAGGTGAGAGTTCAACTTCTCATGTTTTCCCTGCACATTTAAATGTTTGTTTCTGAAGAAAATGTTGTTCTTAACTCCTTAAAATAAAGTTTAAAAACTCTTAATATTCAGCAAAAACAAATCCTGGTTCATCCCAGGTTTGAAGTATTACGATACACACACTTATACACTTAATATACGTTTATATATGTAAATAAGCACAAATCCTGGTTCATCCCAGGATTGAAGTATTAAGATACATACACTTTAATATACGTTTATATATGTAAATAAGTATATATACATATATACGAATATATTAGCACCAAAATGCATTTATTAGTTTCTATATGAGTTGTTTCTCCACTGATCAAACCATGTGAGTTTTTTTTTTTCAAACCCTTCCTTTAGCAGCTAAAGCTAACCGTCCACAGGTGTCCCATTTCTGTGGACATACCAGGAGATTTACGTCCTCATGAACCCAATCAGACCTGGAATCTCCAGGTCATTTGTTGAGCCCCTTGAACACAGGCAGAGGGATTAAGCCGTGGTTGGATTTACCCCCTCTATAAATTCCTGGGAAATTGTTCAATTAATTAAGATGATCACGACTCAATTACTACCAGCTGCAGGGTTATTGCCGTTTGTTTTCACTCGGCGCTGCAAGGTCAAAGAAGTCGACGAGAGCTGCCGCTCTGTCTGACTGGCTGTTTGAATAAGTGCTATTCGATACCCTGAGGTCTTTTTTTTTTCTTCTCTCCTTTACTACCCTCCCAGCTCGCAGGAACCGAAGGAGGGAGAGAGAAATTCTGGAAAAATGTTCCACTGGAGGGAAAAGTCTCACTGCGCTGTTCAATATGGAGACGAGCGGCGGCGACCAACACCAGCAGCACGAACCAGGAAACCAAGTACGAAACGTTGTTTTTCTACATAATTTTAGCATTTAAAGTTTTAAAAAAAGTTTTAAAAAAGGAAAGAAAGGGCTTCACAGACTACTTAGAAACTCTGCTGATGAAATATAACGATTTATCAAGAAGTAGGATTGTAGCTAACGGAGGTTAGCATGTGTGAAATTAGCGTCAAATGGATGTGAAAATGCACATGAGCAAAGAGTTGAAATGTAAAATTGTTGAGCCAGTTTGAATAGTTACCTCAAGAGGTTATCGATAATCAAGATATCGATGGCTAAGTTCCATTTAGCTACCACTAGTTGGCGCTCCACTTTCATAGACTGGACGGGGTTATCGTTAATGCGATCAGTACAACCTGTGCTTTTCCAGCTAAAACATCTTTAAAGTATTTTCAAATTCATTTAAAAAAGTAAATTAGCTGAGATTCAGATTAAACCGTCCTCCACCAGTAGAAACAGCTGGTTTGACTGGTTTTCACTTCCCCACAGTTTGAATTTGCATCATGAGCAGTTTTTCCCTATGACTATTTTGAGCAACTTTGTTAAACAAAGTATCTCCTAAACAGTGAGAACGTACACTTTAACAGCCGTGACTCTGTTATAAACTCCACCTTGAGTCCATTAAGGCTCAATATTTGGTAAAACAAACTGAACAGCATCCTTAAATCAAATAAAGGAAAGGTAGTTTGGGGGGGGGGCAGGAAATCTGCATTTTATTCCAGAGGAGCTACAGTTTACGTGCACAAACACCAGATGTGAAAGACGAGCTGGTGAAGTTTTCACAGTTTGTTTTTACCAGGTGTTCTTTTGTACAAAGGAACAAAAAAATGTGAAGAACAACAAAAAAAAAACCCAAAACATTTCCAGTTAATGTTGTGAAATATAAAATCTAAGGTGGAAACGCCTCCGCTGCCGTCTTCCTTTGATGACAACCGTAGCTGCAGGCGACAACCCAGCATTGAACGCGCAAACAAATTGTCAATCAGTGGCGACTGTCGACCCTGCGGCTGTTGCACGGCGTCGTGTCAGGACTTGATGAAAAATACACCGTAACCAATCAGGAGGAAGGAACTTTCTCCCACATTAACTTCACATTTGTTGGTCTTTTTTTTTGGGGGGGGGGGGGGGGGTAGAAGACGTTCCAACAAACTAACAAACCAACATCTGTGGTTTTCATAAAACTCTTACAGAATTACAAAGATTATTTACAAGGGAAAAAGCCAGGACTAGTTTGTTGGTTTAATAGAAATTCAGCCAAATTATGCCCCTCAGCAAGGACAACATTGACCTTTCTCAAAACGTGGCCCTTAAAGGTACACGGGTGACAAACAAATCTAACAAAAATACCTGTACTTTCAAATGGTGTTCGATTCGAATAAACAAGTTTCATGTGATTTTTTTTTTCTAACCATCAAAAATGAAGAGTTTTGACCACAGCAGTAAGACATTAACTTTTCAACCAAACCTGAAAGGAAACTTTCAAAAAAGCTCTGCCACAGGTTCAACTCTAACTCTAGTCTTTTCTGATTGTTTTCTTTTCCTTAAACCAAGTGGACTCTCGTAAGACTTGATGTCAGTCCTACACTGAGCCTCTTCTGTTTATCATCTCTGCCAAAAACCTCAGACTTAAATGGAAGACGATGAAAAAAATCACTTTTTTTTCCCCCCACATCTGATGATCAATAATCAGCATCTCACCACCTCTTCGTCACCTCGGCAGCAAAAGCATTTTTTCTATTTTTCTTTGAGGGCATTTGTCTCTGAACATGTGACCCGTCTGGGTTTGTGTGGGAACCAGCTCAGCTAAAAGAGCTGCTCTCCGGAGGGAATGACGGGGGAGGAACCACTTTTAACCAGCAGTGACAGTTTTGGCAGAGGATTAGCAGCCAGACGAGCTCCGACTCTCAGGAGAGGCCAAAGGAAGCGTTAGCCAAAATTAGGAGAACGTTTTTTTTTACTTACAGAACGAGCGACGTGATGTTGGAGGCGTAAGGGCCCAGATCTGGTATCGAGTCCAGTTCGTTGTGACTCAGTTTTCTGTGTGTGAGACGAGAGTATGAATATGTAGTTAAACTGCTTGGGAAAACTTGAGGAAGCGTGTTTGTGGAACGTGTCACAAGTGGTACTTACACTTCGGTCAAATGTTGTAGTTTGGAAAACAGAGCGGCGTCGAGCACCTGCAATTTGTTGTAGCTCAGGTCTCTGTGGAGGAGAGAGAAAAGAGAAACAACTAAATAAGCAAAAAAGTACACACTCTGCACCGTATTGTTTTTTTCCACTGCTGAAGCTTCCATTTAAGTCTCTACGGCAAACATAATTACACACACGTTATTGTGCCTTGGCGCTCAGAATGAAAGGAAACAGATTAGAGAAAAGTTGCTGTAATTAAATTGCGTATGTGTAGAGAAGGTGATGAAATGAACCAGGCAACGGAAACGTAACAAACTTTTCAAATCAACCAAGGACATCGTTGTCTGCGTCTGCCTTTGTTTACGTTTGGAGTTTGAAGTACTGGGTTTAAGTCGAGGTATAAAATATTCTTAACAAGTTCAACGACATCGACTGCTGAAACAGAAACGGCCAAGAGTTAGCGTTCTTTAAAGTTTCTTGGTTTTCTCTAACTCCGTGAACAAACTGATGCACAGGCAACAGTTTACGTTCCAAAACAAACTTCTTTTCAAATTCAAACCCAATAAAGGCCTTTTTTTTTAGTTGTTTTTACATTTTTAAAAAGCTCTGCTGTTTTTCTCAGAACCGTTCGCTTCACGTCCAGACTTCGGCTGCTCGGAACAAAAGCCAAACACGTCAAAGAGATAAGTTATTATGGTGTAAGGGGGGGGGGGGCTGAAACGAGGCATGTGTATTTGATAACAGTACTGGGACAGGACCGTGCTTTCACAGCAGGGGGCAGGAGCTGCCAAAGAGGAAGAACTTTCTTGGAAAATGAAATGAAATAAAACAAGTATCATGAAAGTTGAGGTAGAACATTTGAACCCTCTTTTGAAATACTTTTAGCAGTAGGAAAGTCCAGGTCTTTTCTTGGGACCTTTCCATTGTAAACAGAGTAAACATGGGCAAATACTGGGGCTGATTTTTGGACCCTGAGTACCATGTGGTATTTCAGACACACATTACAGTACAACTTTTCTTCGTTGGCCATAGAATTTTTGAAAAATTAAGGGAGTAAGTTCAGCATTTTTAACAAATATTTCTTAATAAAAAATACCTTTATTGTTCAAGAAACTATGAGTACTTTTGTACATATTTGGCGAGAGGTACACATACAGATTAAATGGTGATGGGAACCTGTTGATACTTTTATGTTTTGTTGGAGTGAGAAACTCTGAGATCCTTGGAAATTATCTGTAGTCCTAAAAAAAGTACTCTATGACAGTAGTATGGCTGCAGTACAGGAGTCAGTACTAGCCAAGGTTATATCCACAGGCCTTTTATTTCAGAATAACATTTTCCATGAAGTACCGGGCCTTTGACTTTCAGAAATATACGAGCCATTACACTGTTATAGATATTTGACATAAAAAAATGACTTTATCGTCTGCATAGAGAGAGACTTTTCAGCCTGGACTTGTTGTCCTAACTCCACCTGTACTGAACCTGAGTCCGAGCCTTGACTGATTCAGTACGAACTGTAGATCACTGTAGGGGGTGAGACTCGTACTTCTTACTTCTTACTCTTTTTTTTTCTGCCTGTTTTGAAAACGAGCCTCAAACCCAACACGAGGAATCTGGCGAGCTGAGAACTTGTGCGCCATAAAGTGGTGAAGTTATTGACGCTGCTGCGCACGATCAACGCTGTGGTGCCAGACAATTTCTTTTTTCTTTTTTTTTTTTTTTTTACACCCCCTACTCCCCCCCCCCTTCTTCTTACCTCCCTCATCTGGAATTCATCAAGGAGTTGTGGGAGGAGGGGAAGAACCTAACAACTGGTAATGTATTCACAATGCCAGGAAAAGCGAGAGGGACGTCTTTCATACATCTGAAACAGCCCTGTCCAATAATCTGGGGTCTGTTTTTGTTCTTTGGTGGAAAATCTCATGAAACACCAGAACAGACGTCCACTCTGGCCCTAACGCAGAACATCTCAAGTGTTCTACTCACTTCTGGTACTTTTTACAAGCACCGTGTTGCAATGACACTGCTGTGGGGGGGGTGTCCTATCGTACTTTCTTGAGATAAACTCCCGAGTGGACCTGACGCTTCCACATCCCTCACAAAGCACGGGCTCAGAGCTGGACCAGATAAGGCAGAGAGCTGCTGCTGCTGCTGTTACTGCTGCTGCTGTTACTGCTGCTGCTGCTGCTGCTGCTGCTGCTGCTGGGGGTGCCGCGG